ATTTTAATAGTGTTCTAAAGTTTTCTGTCCCTAACTAATGCATTAGGCTGAAAAACAGCACATAATTGATATTTAGGCTTTTCAAAGAAACAGAATAATCTTGACACAGTAAGCAAGAGCTATGTTAAATCTGAGTTGTTGGACAGATTAAATATGATAGACCACGAGAAATATGACGGTAGAGTTACTGTTTCTGTACATGAGAACAGTAGTTAGGTATATATTCTGAGTTATCACACTCTGGAAATAGGCACATGCAGAGTATGGTCAACTTGTTGGTCTTCTGAGCTAGTTATATCACCTCCAACTGCTGTAAGAATTGGAGAAGAACAACGGAAACAGCTGGTCTAAAAACTAAGATAGGATTTGTATGTCTGAAAGCCAGCTGGATCCCATTCATCTTTTGCAGGGTATCGGGAAGTCATTCACTTTAAAATATATACTCTGCCATTTGAAATGCTTTTTTTTTTTCACTGTGTACATATAGTTTCTTCAGTCGTAGTCAACTGGCATTTGTTTTCCCACCAAATTTAAGAAATCGTAAAAGCTCTTCTGTTTACTGATTTTTAATACCAGATGTTCACTTGCTAATTCCATTACCTTGTGACTACTTCCTATAATTCATTAATTGCCAGCTGCTCAGCCAAACAGAAAACCACAGCTAATCAGATGGTATTGGTAAACAGCCAAACAAGAGCTTCCTTCTTCACCATTTCTTAAATTAGCAATCACTGAGAAAGCTATGGCAACCTTCACTGGTATATTAAGATTTTACCTTCCCATTTTACCCCAAATCTTAAAATATAATACTGACTAAAATTGGACAGACCCTTTCAGTGGAAACTTCCTACTTGAACCCCTCCCATGAATTGTTTCATCCAGCGCTGCTACCGAAGGAAATAAAAGTACTCCCAGGACTAATGATGGTAATGCTCTATAGAATCTATGTTACAGCTATATTAGTTATTAAGTACAAATGCAAATGTTTAAGCCAATACTAAAAGGATCTGAGCCAGAACTAAAAGCTGGTATGTGCTTGGTGTAACAATATTCCCTTGTGAGCTTTGCAAAAAAGAGATATACTTGGTTTTTACTGTTTTTCTTTTTCTTTTTTTTTTTTCCTCTTGCAAGTTTAAAATAAGTATTCACTGATTATTCTTTAAACTAGCAACTAGTGTTAACAAGCATCACAGGGAGAGGAAAATGCCTCCCTTCATAGCAGGGGAGACGAAAAGGCTATTTAATGCAATTTGTAGGGACCCAAACATCTCCCAACATAGTAGTTTCTATATCAGTGAATAAAAAGATACAAACACACCATTCTTTGTTACAGATAGTCATAAAAATTAGCCTTATAAGAAATAAGCAAACTATGCTGTCTCACACATCGCTCCCCTAATGTATTCTAGTACCCAGTTCAGCAATACGCTGCCAACAATGAACACATGCTATGAAACGGGACAGAATAAATCTAATAGAGAAAAGTATCATAAATTTTACAGAAAGTTTTGTTTTATAAATCTTGTAATATTCTGTAAACATTTCAGAATGAATTGAATGCACAGAGATATGAAATTAAATATGTTATAAATTCTGTAACTAGAAATGCTTTTATACTGAGAAGGATTGTTTCAGAGTATTCTGAGATGGCCACATTTTTCAGGCTGTCAGGTAAATTTTATGAATGCGAGTTGTATAGCACATAGAAAATAGCACCTCTCAGCAATAATTACACAGCCCATCTGTATTGTCTTTAGGGAATTTAAAATCATGTCATATACATCCTTTACAAATGCTTTAAGAGTCCCACAAAATCAGGAGAAGAACAGAACACAAAGAAAAGGAGATCCAAAAATCTCTACTGCATGTGTAGATCACATGATAGAAATAATGCTTTGTTCTGCTTATCAGTAGACCAAAGAATTCAGATGGAAATTGTGTAGGGTTGACGTGAAATAAAAGATTTCAGTTCCTGGGCAAAACAAAACATTGCATTTCACCCCAAATGTCAATTTTTTTATGGGAAGTTGATTCATTTATAAAGTATATGCAGGTGAAATTCTAAAAGAAATGATTTCAGAGTAAAAAAACGCTTTGAGGTTTTTTGAAACAAAGCATTTAAATTGTATTTTAACTTTTTCTTTGGGTTTTCCAAATGCATTCAAAAAATGTGCCATTTATTCCTAATTGGGACCTGGCTGACATCAAAAAGAGTAAGGTTTCTTCTTTTCCAATTTCTGCCTCAAGTCCCAGACACAGCAAAAGGAGGCCAGCATGTCTCCAAGCAGTGACTAATTATTTCAAGACAAGTCAAATCCATACCATGCTTCCACTTCAAGACTAATACTCTTCTTCCCCAGGTTTTCTCCTTGCCAATCTCCTGCCCCTCACTTTCCCCCACAGACACCCCAAACCTACCAGTTAGCAAGTTAGCTCTTGCTCAGTGCAGGTCTATCCAGCATCTTCCTCTCCTTGCCCACAACTTTATGGTTAAAACTGTGTCAGCTAGCATGTTTTTTAGTCATATATGCCCCTTCTGACTTTATCTGTATAAATAAAGACTTCAGGCTCCTGATATCATATACAGACTGAGGGTATCCCTAGCTCAAGGCCTCATTCCACTATGGGCAGAGAGTGGTCGTATGATCTGATTATGAAATTCCAAAGTGCTGTCAGCGAAAAGAAGAGCTATTCTCATTCTTGCTGGGACAGCTCTTTGTTTATTTGCCATCCACGTATGTGCTGTAAGGTCTCAACTCCTTTGGACCCAATTTAATTTAAATGACCTGTTAAGACTCAGACATGCTTTCAGAACTCTATTCAATTTGTGTTCTCAGCACACATCATGATCCTTAATGACAAACTGTATGCTGCAAATGCATATTAATAGTTATATTCATTTGTTGCATAATTAGTTTATATCATTTAAATATTACATAAGTATTATATTGTGTTCAATACAGGTGTACCGTAAGATAAAATTCTAAACATTATGTAGTTACAGCTCTGTGGAGTTGACTTTCGGGACCAACACTTTTGGATGACAATAAACTACTACATTTACTCACCTTTTTTTTTTTTTTTTTTTTTCTTTAGCCTACACAATGAATTAAGTATACTTCTGCTAAATTCCAACCCAGACTACTTATCTGCTGGCTGGCAAACCACTTTATACCTAGTCTAGTAAATGGATTGCAGGCTTTATTCAGCTCAAGAACAACTCTGGGGAGGAGGGGGGAAAAAAAAAAGGAAAAAAAAAAGGCGAAAGGTGGTGGTAAAGTCATTGATGCTGTATTCCTCCCCTCATCTCCTTACCCCATGCTACACCCTTATTTATGCAGATTCTTCAGAACTATTTGAGCTAAGTTTGAAACGGAGCAAGCACTTTCAGCTGAGCAGTAAATCCCTGAAAGCCTGGATTTATAACAGGGGCACTGTCAGAACCATTGCAATAGCACTGCTAGCGGGTGCTGCAATAATCACATCAGATCATATTATAGATGGCTAAGAAGGTTTTGTGAGCCTGGCCGTTGTGCCTGCCTAATTTATAGTGTTCCTGTCAGGAGGAAATCAAGTTTCATAGTTATGACATTTCTTTCTAGAGCACTAAATGTTAACTTTGCTGATCACGCATATTTTGGTAGAACAGCTTATTTCTAAATGGCAAATGTGATATAAAAAGCATAATGACTTCATTCAAAACCTTTATAGAGCAGCTGATTCTCACACCTATAGAAAACAGACTAAGTGGTATTTTAGTCATCAGAGTATAGAAATAGATACACACTCAGTATATTCAATTCATTTTTCCCATTTTAAGTAACGTCATGTTGCCATAATCGCAGTCTATCCAAAACTAGTTATTTTTTGTACTTCTAATATGAACTTAAATAATGTTGTCATATAATAAAAATCATATCACTGATGGATAACAACCACAGAAACCCTTTTACATGTTTCATTTTGTACAAGGATTTCATCTTAATTGATAGTCATTCAGAGCTAGACAATTGTACGTAAGGAAAAGAAAGGACAAAGGGAGCCTCATACTGTCTGTAATAAAATTCATCTACAGTCTCAGCACTCAGAACAAATGAGAGAAAGATGCAGCATCACTTGACAGATGAGAGTAACACCACAATGGATGCATGCGTTACCTCTATCATATTAGCTACTGGTGTATTTTCCTCTACATCATGTAGAGGAAACAATTCCCTTTAGAGTGCTGGTGAGACCTACTGTTGGCTGTGGACATATTGCATATCCCCTAGTGCAGGTGTTGGGGAAAAATCACTGCAAATGAGTAACATCAGCAAAGACCTGCTAAAGAGCCTCCTTAAAATCTAACTGCTTGTAAGAACTGTAGTATATATTAGGACAAACTAGTATTGTTTACAAATACGTATCTAATCTTCATTTTGACATACTGGTAGCATTTAAATTATAATCAAAGCTTATGCAGTCTACTTGCTGCTATAAATGTTTTACTGCCACATTTAAGTTACCGTTTCCTCAAGAGGTCTCCTGAACACTTAAAGTAAAGGTTACTAAGTGAAACAAATGGAACCTCAATTAATTTCTAACAATTCGATGACTTGCATTAACTACTTGGCAGCTGGACATGAGAAACACCATGTTTCCCCCACCTAGTCAAAAACTATGCAGACACACTTATGATAAGGAGAAGTTAGATCTAAATAGATCTAAAAGTTAGATCTAGAAGTTAAATCTACATAGATCTAAACTAGACTAGATCTAATCTAACACTAGTGAGTGCTAATATCTGTTTTTAATTATATTACAGATTTGTAGATAAAGCAGAGCATCTTATTTCTTTAACTTCTTGCCTGTACTTTCCTCAAACAGAAGCACTATCAGGAACAGCAGACCAAGTATGCCATATGCAATATAAGCTCACTACCTGTTAGTTATTTTCTTTAAAAAGTTGCTACAAATGTTTTTGCTAGGAACAAAAATCTAGTCTCATAGATGACTCTTACCTTTATAACAGATGCCCCTGCCCTGGAAAGAGGACTGTGCATTTGGGCTGCTGCAGCCATATTAGCTATTGTATTGAGGTGGTTCATCTGATTCATTGCCATTGCAACCGAAGCAGGAGGTAGGCTGACGGGTAGCAGAGGGTGGGGCATCATCATAAACGGCAGGTCTATCCCTAAAAGAGAGCAAGGGCATGTTATGTGTGTCAGTCCCTCATTTTATAATCCCACCCGTTATTTTTTGATGTCTATATTGTACAGGATATTGCCTAGTCAAAACTCTTTACTATTATGTGTTAATAATTTTGAAGTTATATAGTGAATAAGTCTCTTTGCATTCCAGAAAAAGCTGAATAGTTTGTACTAGCGACAGAAGCATACACCTGCAAAGTAGCACAGTATTAGCAAAATTAATATTCAACAATGCACAAGTTCAGTGATGTCTTTATTGATAGCAATAAAACAAAAAACACAAAACATGTAGATATTTGCATGTTTTCCCAGTATAACAGAAGAATATTCATTAATGATTTTATCTGACAATATACTCTACAAAGTCCTCAAGTTCTCTTACTATTATTAGTTTACCTACACAGCAATCTGATACTTCTATATGAGGACTATTGCTTGACTATAGGAAGCTGTGGATTGGACTATACAACACTACTGTACTACCATACAAGTCTGTCAACTCGAATATGGAATGAGAGCTCAAAATTTGAGATAAAAAAATGGTGCAAGTGTTTTTCATTTCCAAGACAGTCACTTTAAATTTTCGCCTACTAAGGACATAAAACAACTCAAGAAAGTGTGAAATGTGTTTGCAAGCATTTGCAGACCTTGACATTGCTAGAAAGGTGATGTTACCTCTCAAAAGAACTGTATTTTTGTATCTCATTACCAGCTATTCCAGCATGCATATTACTTGTATTTAGTAATGGCTACAATACAACACACCAATCCACTGAAAAACTTTCCGGTACTTTTGCATTTAAGAGTTCTTCAGAGGGACCACTTGGAGATCTCCACCTTTGGGCATCAAAAATTCTTTTTCCAGAAAAAATAGGACACATGCTGCTACACAAAATGTCTTATAATTTTTCTAACTGAAACTTTGATTAGAAATTCTCACAAAAAAAAAAAAAAAAAAAACAAAAAAAAAACCTTCAGGTACATGAAGTAATTAAAATTCATGTAGCCAGTTATAACCATGTGCTATTCACATTATCTATTTCTAAAAGATTTTAACTTTTGCCTCTATCTTCATGAGTTAAATCAGAGGGCTAGTCACCATTTTGCTGTATGACAGAACACACAGTAAAACTATCATTGACTGATACAGCTTGTTATTTCAGTATAATTTGACTATAGCAATAAAAAGACACCACTGTGACTACCACAAAAGCCAGAATTGTTTATACTCTGAGTTCCCACACTATCTCTGTTTAGCTTGGGCAAATCATGATCAACTATGATGTCTTATGATTCACTGTGTTTTGTTTATAAGATGATCCATGCCAATATTAATTACGACACGTAATAAGCCATGCCCACATATATCTCCTTTCACTTTAAACCATACTGACAATCCCCTTTGCTGCTTACATCCATAAGCCTTTGTTCCCCTGCATATCTCCCTTAACAGCCCAATAATCTCTCCTCATACTCTATAGAGTTCCAAAACTCCCAGACACCATCTGGCCACATTGAGTTGTATGTCTACTTAAAGTCCAATTGACATGCAAACTAAATGCAAACTACAAACAGAATTTAACAGCACATCACCAGTTTTAAGACACAATCCGTCAAACATTTCAGGACTATGAAGAAAATATATCTTACACTTGCAAATCATTGGACATAATGTCTGACATTCAATAAACCCTTTAATAGCCTATAGACATTTGACTACTACAATATCTATTGGAAAATAACTTGAAAGTTTTCTTTAACAGCAAAGAACACAATATCCCTCATGCAAAACATGTACAGATACTGAATTATGCAAGAATATAAAATGAAAGAATAAACCATGGTGAATATGAGTCCTATAACCTGGTGATTCTTAATTACTGACACTTAACCAGATGCCCATAATGCTCAGGCTCCTACCTTCCCATGAACAAAGTAAACATATATTGTAGAAGCCATTTAAATAGTCTGGATTTCTTCAAGTCTGTGGCACTATATAGGTAGCAAGGAAGCATCTGATTCTAAAATTTCATAAAAAGCCAGAAATGCCATTCAACCATTAATACTAACAGGGAAAATCAACTTTCAAAACTTTGAGGATGACGAATTTAAACAAATAATGAGGATTCATAAATAATATTTTAATTCTTCATCCATCATCATCTTTCAGAATTACTCTCAGATTACTCCTTATTACTTTTTTAAATATATTTTTGTTGCTTTCTGACCATTTCTTTGAATAACTTGCTAGTACCTCCCCTTTGGGTATAAAGGAGGAGGGAAACTCCAAGCTTCCCACCTATCCCCTTCCTAGAGGAAGGAAAAGAGATGGATTTGAAATGAAGTTTAAGTTCCAAATCCAAACTTTACCTGTGTCATTTTGTTCCAGTTGCTTTGGATAGCTGCATTGAAGAGATGACCTTGCCCATACCTGGCAGGTACAAGGCATGACAAGGCAGAAGAACTGCTTCTATTCACTTTTACCTAGCCATTTTCACCTATGCTTTGCTCTCTTACATTTATTCAGTGGTCAGCATTTTCAACTGGAAGAGAATTCACTCATATAGCTAAAATTTTAAGCAATGGTATGATTTTTTTCCCCTTTAGCTCAGGCCATGGCACTGCTGGCTGGGACTGACAGTCCTTAACACAGCAATGGGTAGCTATTCAAGGCTGTATCCCAGCGGGCAGCTTGGCCATGATGCACAAGTGCAGTACTCAGTGGAAGGACTGGCCCCTTGTGTACCATGTGCTTCCATCATCCATTCCCTCAACTTCCAGAAGGATGGAAAGAAGTACAAGCATGGCCTTCAAGCAGAGCTCTGTGTACTTTTTTTTTTTTTTTTTTTCCCCATAAGGGCAAGGATACATACTGTTGGTAAGCAGGTGATTCTGCTGGAGAGGACTGAGTGGGTGTGCACTTCCAAGGCTCGACTGTCCCGACAGTGTGGGATGACCAATGCTGTGCTGTGATCCTGTTGTAATGGGAGACTGAAGCTTGTCTTTATCCCAGGAGGATTCACTCCCACCTGCAAAACAGGGTGCAAAGGGACCGTAAGTGGCATACGCTTTTCTTAAAAAGACATTTTTCTTGGTTAGCAACAAACTAATACTCTTTAGCAGAGCTATGCACCGCTAGCACACGCACAGCACACACACACACAAAGAGAAAAATTAAGAAATATGTATCAGACAAAAGTTATGTTTAGAAACTTTCAGCATCACCTACCTTCATAACAATAGTCTCTGCAAACAGAAAAAGCTAAATGAATATCTGTTTGGTCTGAAGCTACTGTGTTCTGGAACAATTGTACAGATTGCAGTTTTCTTTAGCATTACATTTATACACATGAATAACAGGTTCCTTTTAAACAGCAGGTAAGGAGATTATGAGAGTGAATTCTGAAATACAAACCTGGTCCACAAAACAAATCACCTTCAAACTTAGGCCAAACATTTCTAAGTAAAAAGCTATTTTATGTACAATCCTTTCTCAGGTATATCCCATGTTTTTAATTAGATTATTGATTGTTATGAAAATATGTAACTGCAGTATTGACTTTGTTTTGATTTTACGAAGAAGAATTTCAATTAGAATAAGTGATAGATTACTATGATTAAAGCAAACAGAGGCAGCAAGCAAAAAACATTTTAACTGAAGATGAAAGTAACAGAAAAATTCCACATTTTTTATGACAACACTTAACTAATAAACATGATTAACACTGCTAAATGCAAAAGTTTGAAAGATCAATGATTGAGAAAAAAGGAAATCACTTCATCATTTTAGCACTATGTCCAAGTATGAATTACTTCCCATAAAAGATCTGTAATTTGTAAAATGATGAGTAATAATTGACAAAGAAAGATACAGTAAATTATGCCATGTGATATAATATAACATGGCATAGTGTGGTAATTAGAAGCACTACTGCAGTTAAGACCCTGTCAGCATTTTTGCTATTTAATATACAATATAGCAGCTCTTTAAATAACATTTGACTGATATCCAGTATAGAAGCTCTTCATTCTGACTTGTGATCCAGAGGTATTTTTTTTTGGTAAAGTATTTCTCAAGTTAAACCTGATATTTTTTATTATATATATACGTATCTATATAAGTATATATATATGTATATACACACACACACATATATATATATACATATATATATATACACACATATACACACACATATATAGGAGGAAATGATTAGTATTTGATTTTGCCAAATATTTTTTTTTTCCACATGCTTTTTGGAAAATTTAACATTTATACTGTGTTCTTCCTCAGAAAACACACACAGCATGTACCATGACATATTTTTTTTTTCTTATTGTCCTGGTTTCAGTTAGCACAGAATTAATTTTCTTCCTAGTAGCTGGTGGAATGCTGTGTTTTGGCTTAGGATGAGAAGAGTGCTGATAACACCCCGATGCTTTAATTGTTGCAGAGCAGTGCTTATACTAAGCCAAGGACATCTCAGCCTTTTGCTCTGTCCTGCCAACGGGCAGGCTGGGGGTGCAGTAAGAGCTGGGAGGGGACAGACCCAGGACAGGTGACCCAAACTAGCCAAAGGGGTATTCCATACCATCTGACGTCATGCTAAACAATATATAGGGGTGGCTAGCTGGGGGGAGGGGGCCGGACTGCTCGGGGTTAGGCTGGGCATCGGTCAGCGGGTGGTGAGCAATTGCATTGTGCATCACTTGTTTGTACATACTATTACTTTCGTATTATCACCATTGTATCATTATTATTATTATTGTTATTATTATTTTTGTTATTATTATTTTCCTGTCTTATTAAACTGTCTTTATCTCAACTCACGGGCTTCACTCTCCATTTCTCTCCCCCGTCCCAGAGAGGGAGGGGGGAGGGTGAGCGAACGGCTGCGTGGTGTTTAGCTGCCGGCCGGGTTAAACCACGACACTTATAAACTGATTTTTTACATGTCACTTCACATATCAGGGCAGTGGCCACGAAAACTGCGCACAAGACAGTTTGCTAGAGATTTCTGAATGAAGATAAAAAATTGCACTCTTCATCTAAAAGTTTCCCTTATCCCATTTCTTTTCCCAACACTTCCAGTCCCAGGCATAGATGGTCAAAACTGTTGGCTCATTTACTTATTTCTGGAAGAATTTCTCTCATCTTTCCAAAGCCTTGTGTTTCTGTCCGCCTGAAGCTGTAGTCCACGTGCTTCTGTGGACCTGAAGCTGTAGTATCAGAGCGCTACCAGACTTCTGGCCTTAGCTGTATGTTCCATGTTCCTAAGTGCAATTATTCCTATTTTACAGACAGAGAATTGCACTAGGGAATGCGAAGAAAAGTGACTTGCTTAAGGAAATAGAGGAAGTCTGCACTGGAACAGGAAACTGAATTTAAGTCCTGTCACACAGTCCAAATCACCAGACAAGTCTTACCAATGGAGACAATAATAACTTTTCTTCCCGCAAATTTCACTCATAAATCTGCTTCAGTGCCAGCAACACAAGAATAAATTGTAATACACTTATATCTACAGACCATTCCTGTATTCTTGTTCTGTATCACTTTTCCTTAGAGAAAGAAAGAAAAACATTGCTGAGAGTATGATGTACCTAAGTGCATCTCAAATGAAACGTACTCTATAGTGTGCAATACACCACACAGGTAACAGCAGTAACAGCTCCACCACTTAATCAGAGCTCCATTATACTATGCAGTAGCAAGTCACTTAAAATGAAAGCACGAAGTAGAATTACCTCTTACCTAGAACTGTTCAATAGTGAAGTGTTTTATATGGTCAGTATGATTAATTATCTCCTACTTATGAGTGGGCAAGTTGAGGTGCACAACTGCAAAGCAACTTCTTCCAGGTCACCTTGTAGATTAATGCTGAAACTGGACGAGAAGTCAAATCTCATGCGCACTGCTCTTGCTCTCTACCCTATAGGGGCTTTCAACTCAACTTACCCACAGCTAAAGATTTTTACCCTTTGCGTAGCTAAAGATAACAGTTTTAAAAGAAAACTTGCATCCTTCCCTGAAGTACCTACTCTCATATAGTAAGAAAAAGTTATACATAAGAGTAACAAATTTATGGAAGTCAGAAAAGTTTGTGTTGTTTTTATTTTTTTTCCTATCATTATATTCAAAAGGTTTGGTCTTTCACAAAATTTTTACTGGGAAAAATAATAATTTATTTGTCCATACTACGCTAGTGAAGGTTCTCATTCTCTAATATAGCAAATAAGGAGCCTGAAGTTAAGAAATGACTCATACTACTGTATATAGAAAGATGGACTTCAAGGAGTTTCTTTTAGATGTATCTGAAGAAAGAGAGGAAAAATACACGAAAAAGAAAGCAAACATACAACACAGTAAGGAAAAACAGAAACAAAACACTAATGGGACTTATTTTACTTCTTGTGCTTGAAAGGAAACGTAACTTTTATTTACTTTAAATGAGAAAGAATATTTCATTTAAAAGTATTAGTAACTCGATTCATAAGTGTCACAAGAACATTAACAGAGCCCTCAGAAGTCTGCTGATTTGATAAATGCCAATACATCATTTCTACACTTTACAAAAAGCTTTACATTTAACACTATTACCCACTACCCATATGACCTTCTCTCCAACAGATAAAACCAAAGGACAAAAAGGTAATTTTTCCTTATCTTGTTTGCATTCTAGTCGATCTTGTCCCAGAACAGATTGTACTCAGCATTAAAAAAGGGCAAGAGAGGCAAGAACCTCCATCTTCCAGGGCTCCTGACGCTTATCAGAAACAAGCACAGAGCCTGCAGTTTCCTTAAACATAGCTACACCAAAGTGGAAAGAAAAAGGCAGAGGCATTGGCTGTCCAGACATCCTAAAAGATTGCAGAACGCAGTGACTTTCCATCAGAAGCTAAAAAAGATCTGATCTGCTCCAACCATCCAGTTCAGGCAACACAGAAAATCTGATGCACTTCTTTCAGATTTGCAGCTAAATGCTGCAATATTGATGGAAAAGAAAAAAAAAAAAAGAAAAAAAAGAAAAAAAGGCCTGATTGGCCTGATTGTAGGCATTGCACACAATCATCTACAAAGAAATACAGAGCAAGTTTCACAGGGTACAGATAAAGACAGAAACTAAATGGATTTGGTAAGAGAAAGATTTACTTACAATACATTTGCTAACTCAAGTCTGCTATTTACCAGTCTTAATACATTGAGAGAACTTACTTACCAGTGAATGAATTGCACTTATATTCAACTAAGCAAAAATAAAACTAATGCAACAAATCCCTGTCCATTCTCTTCAAAATTAAGATGTGGTAAGAGGTAAGAATTCCCTTAATACCATTTTACAGCCCAGTGGCCAAATTCTCTGTGACTCTGTTCCCGAATCCCTCTGAACAAGGAATGCAGATAAGTTCAGATGCATAGGGATTCAAATCACAGATAACACAAACAAATATGGGAAACCAGCCTAAGCAATACACACACATACTGTTTATTCCATACACTGTACTCACAGATCTAAAAGACACTGCATGGTTGCTTGCAGACACATACAGATCTGTAAGCAAAGAGCCTCTGATTCAGTTTCATTTTGTTTAGTTGAAGGAAATGCAAGTGATAAGCTCAGCTTCATTTTCCTGAAAATGCTGCTTCTCACCCTTCTTTGATTTTAGTAATTTTATAAAATACTTATTTAAACTATATCTTTTCTAGTAATCAACCTCCCCATTTCAAAACAAAACCTAAATTTTGGGGGGTGGTGGGTTGCGAAGATATATTTGTGAAAATTAAATTAGTGTCTTAGCTTTAGGAATTGAAAGATCTCCAAAAAGTAATCAAAGTTCAATTTGGTGACAGTTACTTTTCATTTGGTTTCAAATTCATTTTATCAGCCTTTAAACTGTACGGTCTACCTAAATGAAATCCATTCTGTCAGAGGTACCTTTGAATTGAACAATCACACTGTTTCAATCTATGTCTGTCATTTTATTTTTTGTTGTGATACATTTCTGAAAAATTGAACTCAAATTGTTA